TATTCCATTGTATACATATACCACATCTTCTTTATCCATTCATCTGTGGATGGACATATAGGTTATTTCCATAGTTCGGCTATTGTGGACATTGCTGCTATAAACATTCAGGTGCACGTGCCCCTTCGGATCACTACATTTGTATCTTTAGGGTAAATACCCAGTAGTGCAATTGCTGGGTCATAGGGTAGCTCTATTTTCAACTTTCTGAAGAACCTCCATGCTGTTTTCCAGAGTGTTGCAACAGCTCACCCACCAACAGTGTAGGAGCGTTCCCCTTTTGAGGAGCCAAATTCTTTTTTTTTTTTTTTTTTAAGATTTAATTTATTTGACAGACAGAGATCACAAGTAGGCAGAGAGGCAGGCAGAGAAAGAGAGAGAGGAGGAAGCAGGCTCCCTGCAGAGCAGAGAGCCCGATGTGGGGCTTGATCCCAGGACCCTGGGATCATGACCTGAGCCGAAGGCAGAGGCTTTAACCCACTGAGCCACCCAGGCGCCCCCGAGGAGCCAAATTCTTAATTGAATTAAAATGTGCTATGAATTGTGAAACACATGCTGATTTCACTTATGTGAAAACTTAATGTAAAAAAAAGTGTAAATATTCTCATTATTTTTATATTGATTACGTGTTAAAATGATATTTTGAATATATTAGGTTAGGAACAACATGTTAGTAAAATAATGGTACCTGTTTATTTTTACTTTTCTACATGTGGCTACTAGGATATTTTAGATTATATGTGTGTCTAGCATTATATATCTGTTGAAAAATACTGTTCTGGAACAAATAATTAGAAGGATAATTTATCAAGTTGAAGAAGATACAAGAATCATGACATTCTAATTGGTTTCATTGGGAAACCAATGACAGGTCAAACTAACATTTCTTTCTCTGTTTTTTTCAATTAATTTATTTTTTAACATTTCCTTCTTTGATAATGGCAACTGGGTCAGTAAATCCAGAGAGTCAGGAACACCAGCGTACCTGAATTTTAGTAAGGAATTTGAATTTTCTTAAATGATGAGTATATGGACTGAGAACAAACTCGTTGAAAATTCATTGTGCTGAGTAATGAATTTATTCAAACTTCACCCAGATTTTTAGAGCCACCGGACTCTGAATTATCTGGAGGTTATATTTTCAGTGAAGATTCAGATCCCATTCTTTCCCATTTGTAGATTTGCCAAAACTGGGAGATGGAGTATTGAGAAAATCGAGATCCCAAAAGGCCTTGAACAATGAAAGACTTGCAATATTTTGTGGGGCAAAAAAGTAAAACCCAAACAACACAACTTACTGGGAATCAAAATACTGCTTTTGGTTCTAAATACTCTCTATATAAGTAGAGATTAGAAGCAAAATGACTTAAGAACTGTTGCACATGGGATACAGACTTCAGAGGACCAGGCTGTGTGATTACAGGATCAGTGGAAGATAGCAGGCTTGTCAGAAGAGCTGTGCTTGTTACATATTTTGGGCTGTAGTCATAGAAATTCATGAGTACACTCACCTCCAGATATGACTGTTTAAGGAGATACATTTTAAAAACCACTGTCATGTTTGTTTCTAGACTAGAGCAAGCATGAGGATTCTTACTGCTTTGACATGAGCAGTCCCCTTAAGAAAAAATTAAAAGAATTGAGAATTTAAAAAAAAATATTTATTTATTTACTTACTTATTTATTAAAGACAGAGGGAATGTGCGTGCTTGTGCACCCTAGCTCAAGCTGGGGGGGGGTGGGACAGAGGGAGAGAGAAACGCAGACTCCCCGATGAGCCGGGAGCCTGATGAGAGACTTGATCCCAGGACTCTGGGATCATCACCTGAGCCAGAGGCAGATGCTTAATTGACTGAGCCACCTGGGTGCCCCAGGAATTGAGAATTTTGATTGAAACAGGACTCCTCAGAGAGGACTTGATAGCTGTTTCCAAGGTTTAAGGGTCATGATATAAAAGAACAAGTTCTCTTGGTCTGTTGACTCTAAAATCTGAAACTAGGACCATGGGTGAAAACTCACAGGAGACAGTTTTCCGTTCTGTGGCCAAGACACTCTCTTGAGTGACATGAGCAGAATGACTTGAATCAGCATATTGGGCCTCAAGTTCCAGCTATGTCATTTGCTAGAAGGCTAACTTTCAGCAAATCATTTCACTTTTGTGTGAACCAGTTTTCTCTCTTAAGAATGTCATTATTGATAATTCCTCTTTTTTTTTTTTTTTTTGTTTGGCAAAGATTCGAATGAAAATACATCATAAAATATAAAGCTGTTGGGCACATGGTTCTCTCCTTATAACTTGGTAGTCCTTGTTGGGGATGTCGTAGGAGTTTTAAGCACCATCCTGATGGTTATGCTGGATTTAAAATTTAAGACTTTGTCTTTGTCTGTTGTACAGGATGCCAGTTCCTTAAGCTGGGCCACAGTCCTGGCAGTGGTCTGGCTGCATTCCAATGCTATACAAATGAAGGGTGAGTGGGAACTTCTGGAAAAGAAGGCCAGAGACTGGATTCACATCCATGCAGGTAGGAGTGCAGTCCTAAGACCACATCTCCTTCCTTCCTTAGGGAGCTAGTCCCCTTCCCTTGCACAGAGCCTCCGGGCCTGCTAGAAGGTGACTGGGGAGGAGTTCTCATAGTCCCCTCCCCTGACCTTTTCTGGTCTCCCGGATAGTCCTCTCCTTGGCAGGATAAGGGTGCCATCTTACATTGGGGGGGCGGGGAGGTGAGTGAAGAGGGAAAGGGACATGGATGGGGAGTGTAGATTGGAAGAAGGACATGCACGAAGTCGCATTTGTTCTCCTCACTGTCTCAGTACTATACTGAGTAGAGGACCGGACAGGAGCTCTCACTCCTTGGGGGTTTATTATATCACTGCTGTTGAGTATTTCTGGGACCTGAGAAGATGAAAGGGAATCTGGGAGGTAGGAAGGGCAAAGTCAGGGGTGTTGAAGAAAGATAGGAGCAGGAGTCAGGGAGATGAACAGGCACGCATAGGGGAGACTGAGGGAAGAGTGTTTACTCTCGCTGTGGTTCCTCAGCCCTACTTCTTGTTTTCTCCTCCTAACAGCCTCCATCATGCAAGAGCTTGTGAAAGCTGCTATCGCTTTGATCAAGTCATCCGTGGACCCCGCCATCTTTGCCATCTGAGGAGACTGTCCAGAAATACAAGTGCCTCTCTCATGCTACTGCCCTTTCCTTCATGCTCTCCTGTGTATTTTTGTATTTTACCCCTATCCTGTCAGTTTCTGGCCATAAAAGTGAAGGATGCCCATCCCACCTTTCCTCTCCAGGTTCCCTTTGGGTAGGGTGATCTTCTTTCCCTGGCATGTATCGTCAGCCCAGCGTCAGTGGTCCTAGAACCTGTTCCCCTTCTTGGAGGGATTTCAAGCATTCATCGGCAGTAACATTCCTCCCGGGTTTCCCAGAGTGACCACATGAAAAACAGGTGGGGTGGACGCCACACAAAGGGTACAGCCCTGATATTAGGGCTGCAGAATAAGGGAATGCTATGCATTATAGTCATCTGTGCCTTTTGATCTTACATACTTATTCAGGACCAGACAGGAGAGCTATCCAATTTTCTATTCTAAGATAGGACTGAGAATTGGAGGGGAGGTTGAAAGCCAACATCGGGATCAATACAACCTCGAGATTGAGATCACAAAGCAAGAGAGACTATGGGGATCCACTGTGAGAAATGGCACTGCTGATGGCCTTCTTGGCTGATTCTGTTGGATTTTGCTGGCCAATACAGTGCCTTCCCTCTCATTTCCTAAGGGAATGGATTGAATCACACCTGTTGGAGACAGATGTTTTTCCTGAAATGTAAGGAGATGACAATGAGATCTTTAGTCCTGGCTTGAACCCTTGAGGCCTCTATGTTAGGCTTTGATCTGTAATGAAGGAAAAAGTGTATTTAAAGGCAGTTTTGCCTGAGACCTGAGCCTGGTTCACTGAGCTCATGAGGAAGAAAGGAACTCCCCATGATTGTTTCTGACCTTTGTCCTACATACTCTATTCTAGTGGAAATGACCTGTTTGGTGTGCTGTCACCCAAAATACTATTGTATCAATATTAAAATGATTATATGATTATATCTACACTTCATTTTCTTGTATCTGATCTTTTGTACATTTAGAACCTGCATTGGTTTTATTATCCCTTATTTTCCCTCGCAATTTTGCTGACCCCTACACCATTCATACCATGTCCTGTTCCTGCATCTTCTGTTGTAGGCTGATTTTCTGTCCTACATGAGGCAAGTAAAGGACACTGGCCAGAAAACCACTGTTAGAATCCTGACAACACACTTAAATAGTTATGTGATAATGGATACATGATTTAACCCCCTGGGAGCTTAGTGTCCTTATTTGTAAAAGTGGGACTTCACTAGAACTCCACTATCACTTTCATCTCGAATACTCAAGAATTCTGAGTAGAACCTGAATATCTGTTCACTCAGGTGGAGAATGGCCTAGACTTGAGTTCTGTTGAGCTGCTCAGTGAACATTAGGGAGGTTGGCCTGACTTGCATAGTGGAAAATGATTCCCAGGACTTTCTTCTGAGTCTGTTTATGGCTGAGAGTGACTGGGGGAATAGGGCTGTGGCATCACCTGGAAGCTTCCTAGAAATGCAGAGTCTTAGGCAACTCTAAGAACTACTGTAGCAAAGTCTGCCTTTTAACAAGGTCTCCGGGTAATTCATGCACACATTAAAGTTTGAGGGCTTAGTCTTTAGGCTTGTATCCGCGGCTGCCCTCTGGATAGGTCCTATACGTGCTATGACAAGAAACAGCTTCCTAAAGACCATGCAAATTTTAGAGCTATCTTGGACTCACAAAGGCCCTTTACATTGATCATACAGATTTTTTTTTTAAGATTTTATCTATTTATTTGACAGAGAAATAGAGCCAGAGAGCACAAAGGGAGGGGATGGCAGAGGGAGAGGGAGAAGCTCCCCACTGATCAGGGAACCCGACTCAGGTCCTGATCCTAGGGGCCTCGGATCATGACCTGAACGGAAGGCAGATGCCCAACCATCTGAGTCACCCAGGTGCCCTATACGGATCATTTTTTATTACATTTATTGTTCCTTCCCTTTTTTGTACCCTTCAGCTTGCAGACTAGCCTAGGTCTTGGGGCTTCTAGAGCAAAACACCGTTACAACAAAAGCAGCTTTCCATTTGTCTTCTTTAAAATGCAGAACCAAGGATGGTTTTAAAGTAGCATGATTATATATTTCCATTCGGGCTCACACGATAAAATGTTGTGCCAACTGTAAACTCCTCACATTTAAACAAGCGTCGGTCTTCATCATCAACAAGTATGTTTTGGCACAGTTATTGAAGCCCACTGTCAAGACTGGTGCCTCATGTTTTTGGAAAATAAGAAGCACCATCTGTACTTTCAGGAACTGATGTTCCGGGCAAGAAGCCCAGGAGAGAAGCTGAGCTCAGCTCCCATTGGTCGTGCATACCCCGCAGCTCTTTCCTGGCTGCAGAGACTTAGCCACGAGGAGGATGGCAGATAGCACTGCCTCGAGGTTCTCCCACTCACACTGAGCCCAGTACCTCTACCCTGCTCCACATACACTTTTTTTTTTTAATTTATTTATTTGACAGAGGGACACAGTGAGAAAGGGAGCATAAGGGGGGGGTAGTGAGAAAGGGAGAAGCAGCCTTCCCCGCTGAGCAAGGAGCCCTATGTGGCACTCGATCCCAGGATCCTGGGATCGTGACTTGAGCTGAAGGCAGATGCTTAACGATTGAACCACCCAGGCACCCCTGAACATACACTTATTAATGAAGCCTGGTGCTGATCTTCCCTAGTTCCAGCCCGGTCACACTGGAGATCATTAGCATGTGCTGTTCCACTCCCAGATCAGCCATTTCTTCCTTAAAAACTGGCCATGTGTTTCTAGTATCTGATTGACCCAGATACTGATGGGAAGAAAAAAACCAAGAAAAACCTCATGCAATGAGCTAGCTCCATGTGTTGATTCTCCTTTCGGCTTCACTGGTTTTTGGCTCATGTATTGTGATGTTCTCTTGTTAGGTGTACATTTAGGATTACTAGATCTTCTTGGAGAATTCACCCTTTCATCATTGTATAATCCCTGTATCTTTGATGGTTTTCCTTGTTCTGAAATCTGCTTTGTCTGAAATGAGTATAGCCACTCCAGCTTTCTTTTGGTTAACATCAGCACGGTATGTGTTTCTCTAACCCTTTACATTTAACCTATGTCCCTCTTTATATTCAAAGTAGGTTTCCTGTAGACAATGTATACGTGGGTCTCTTTTCTTTTTATCTGCTCTGACAATCTCTATCTTTTAATTGATGTATTTATTCATATTTAAAGCAATTATTAATGTAATTGGATTTATATCTACCATGTTTAACTATTTTCTATTTGTCACCTTTGTTCTTAATTTTTCCCCCCGTCTTATTTTGCCTTCTCTGGTTTGAATTAAGCATTTTGTGTGATTTCCTTTTATCTCCACTCTTGACCTATCGATTATATTTCTTAATTTATTTAATTGCCACCTTAGAATTTGCAATGGCCATTTGAAACCAACTTGAAGTCCATCATCAATAACTGTTACCACTTTATGTGTAGTGCACACACTATATCAGAGTTTTCCTAATCCCCCTTCCCACCCACTGTGGCATTGCTGACATTCATTTCTCTTACCCATGTATTATGATTACCAATGCTTTGTTATTATTATTGCTTTAAAATTTATCTTTTAAATCAATTTTAAATCAATTAAGAATGAGAAAATATTATTTCACTTTATTTACTTCCCGACACTCTTTCTTTTTTTACGTTGATATGAATTTCTGACCTATATAATTTTCCTTCTTCCTGAAGGATCCCTTTGAACATTTCTTGCAGGACAGGTATGCTGGAAATGGGTTCCTTCAATTTTTGTTTGGGAAAGTTTATAATTCTTTACTTTTGAGGGGAAATTTTGTTGGAAGAATTTTATATCTTGTATTTGAAGCATTTCAACACTTTAAATAATTTCACTCCACTCTTTTCTTGCTTGTATAGTTTTTGACAAGAAATCTGCTATACTTATCTTTTTTTCTTCCTCTTCCTCCTCCTTCCCCTCCTCCTCTTCTCTCCCTCCTCCTCCTCTTCTTCTCTCTTTTTTTTTCCCTTCTTCCTCCTCCTCTTTCTTTTCCTCTTCTTTTTTAATGGATAAGGTGTTTTCCCCCAATCTGGTTCTTTCAAGATTTTTCTCTTCATCTTTGGGTTTTCTTTCTATTTAGGATTTCTTTTCCCCTTTTGTAGGGATGCTCTACTGCATCTTCTAGGATATCTGTTGCTTGCTAAAATTTTACTCTTTCTGAAGACCTACTTGTCAGCTTAAGCCATGGAAACTGGATACTGTAGTTTGCTTGGCAGATGGGGCTATATCTCAGACCCTGCTAGATTAGTGATTTCTCTGCAGTATCTGTCTGCTCTCTCTGATCCAGGAGCTGTTCCAGTATCCTAGCCTGCTGGGGATACCTGAACCATATCCTGGCAGTTTACAGGCCTTGCTAATGGGAGTGGGACCAGATAGGAGCGTGAGCAATGACTCAGGAATGGCTGATGACTGAGGACACCAAATCATTCAAGAAAATTCCAGGGGTTCAAGTCCCTGGTATTTCTATCATTCCCATCTCTCTGCCACCAAAAATGCAGAAAATATGAGTCAGTTCTGGTATTAATTACTTTAACTCCTCATTTAGGTGGATCACATTTCTTTCACAGAAACCATTAAACTGTCAAGAATCAAGCAAAGAAAATGAGCACTTTCCCACTGGGAGAAAAAAAGAAAAAAGGAAAGAAGGAAAGGAAAAAAGAAAGAATGAACGAGCAGCCTAAGAAATTTTTCACCTCTTAACTAGCCATCATCCTGCTCTTTTCCATTTTCGTTCATAGTCTAATTTTCCCCAGAGTTTTTACAGTAAGAGGGGAAATTTCATTTGACCATCCCCCCTCAGACCCCAGCCCCACCAACAAACAATGAAGCACCTGTCACTGGACCAAGAATGTTTAGATTTGGCCCTGCGATTATTTATAATAAAAAAGTTCCAGACTTACATTCCTGGAGTAGAGGGAAAAGGAGTTAAACAAGGCAGGTGGTTTTCTCTGATTAAAACAAGGATGATTTCAATATAAGGCAAATTTCCCTACAAATACACCATAGTGAGACAGCTCTCTTGTGAAATCTCTACTGAACCTTCTGGGACTCATTCCCTATGAAACAACACACGAGATGAACGAGCTTCTCTCTCTTGCTCTCTCCCTCCCTGTCATAGTGTAAAGCCATAATCTTGTACAAGATTAAAACTGTAATGACTATAAGGTTATACATAAGCCTCCTCTAAATCTCTAGAATGAGGGGTGCCTGGGTGGCTCAGTGGGTTTAGCCTCTGCCTTTGGCTTGGGTCATGATCTCAGGCTCCTGGGGTCAAGCCCCGCATCAGGCTCTCTGTTCAGTGGGGAGCCTGCTTCCCCCCACCCTCCTCTGCCTGCTGCTCTGCCTACTTGTGATCTCTCTCTGTCAAATAAATAAACGAAAATTTTAAAAAAGATTTAAAAAAATAAATAAATCTCTAGAATAAGTCTACTAATAATTCTCCCCTGATGCAAGTTCAGGTGCTGTCTGTAGGGAGTCATTTTTGGAAGCAGGAATGATACAGTGGAAAGAGGGCTAAGCCTGGGAATGCCTGGGCTCTCCTACTGTGTAACTTTAGGACAGTCACAGTTGCTCTGAGTTCCAATGTCCTGATTTGTAAAATGGGTCTCATCAGGGCGACCTTATAACATTGTGTTCTTGAGAGAATTAATTAAAACGACATAAAGTGACCTGGTAAAAAATCACAAAAGTGAGGTAATGTTAGTTATGAATGAATATTTGAAAGTCAGAATTAGTTATGAACATATTTTTATAATTCAAAAGGAAGGGTTATATTATCCCGGGTTTGTGATACAACTCTACCATTAACCAACTTTATTACTTTGATTAAATTGCTTTTCTCTTTTGAAGTCGAATTTCCTACTAGAAATGGGGGAAATACTACTACCTGCCTAACGGAT